GTGGGGGTGGTTAGTGGGGGTGGGGTCAGTGGCGGGGGAGGGGGGGTGGAGGGGGGGGTCAGTGGGAGTGGGAGTGGGGGTGGAGGGGGGGTGGAGGTGGGGTGGAAGGGGGGGGTCAGTGGGAGTGGGAGTGGGAGTGGGAGTGGGGTCAGTGGCGGGGTAATGTGCTGAAGACATGTTGCAGGCGGCTCGGACCCACCTCTGAAGTTCTTGATGAGCAGTTTCCTGGAGGCTGCCGGCTTGCCCCCGGGTGTCACCGCCCTGCTCACCCCATTGGGGTGTCCGAGCAGCGCCGCCGAGAAGTTGGCTTTGCGCGAGTGCGGCCGCTGCTCCGCCATGCCGGGGCCGGGGCTGGTAGCCGGGGCCTCGGCCTCTCTGTCTCCGTCCGCCTGGGTGGTGCAGCCCCGGTACCACCGCTTGGCGCCGACAGGCTGAGGGGAGGAGGAGCGGCTCCCGGCCTGGACCTCGGCTCTCCGCTGCCGCTTCCTCGCTTGTCCCCCGCGCTCGCTCACATCGGCGGCCGGCCTTTCTTCCTCCTCCTCCTCCTCCTCGGGGGTATTCTCACAGGGAGGAGCCGGAGCCCCCGCCGCCGGCCGCAGCATCAGCCGGGGGAGGGGAGTGGAAACTGCCTCCGCCCTGCAGACCCGAGCCCCGGGGCCTGGCCTCGGCCTTCACACCGGCCACAGTCAAGGCGGGGGGGGGAGTGGGGATGGGACCGGAAACTAACACCTCTCACCCCTGACCCCTCACCCTGGAGACGGCCACTTCCGGCTAGGCGCTGCTAATGGCGGTGTGAGTGAGTGGGGCCTAGTTGTGAGGAAGGCTCACCGGACCCGAAACGTTAACTCCGACTTCTTTTCCCTACTTTACAGATGCTGCCTAGACCTGCTGAGCTTTCCCAGCACCTTCCGTTTTTTGGTTCTGGAGTCTATCCTGCTTAAATCTCCCACCAGAGGAAAGGTAAAGGTCTTTAAATCAAATGTCGGGAGGGGAATACAGGAACAAGGGGATCTGGGTATTATACGTACACAAGCCATTAAAGGAGCAGACTCTACTGAAGATATATGTTTTTTTAAAAGATGCCGGGAATCAGCTGTGATTTTTGTTTTATTCTCCGTAAGTCATTAAAGGTTGAGGGATGGGCGCAAGAGAGCAGGAGGTAGGGCATTCCCCCGAGGAATGGGAGCTGAAGCAGTTAGACGAGAGGGAAGGTTGAGGATGGTGGTGCAGGTGCCAATGCTGGATTGGGGTGGACAAGGCCAGAAGTCACACGACTCCAGGTTATAGGCCAACAGGTCTATTTGACAACACAAAGTTTTGGAGCTTGGCCCCTTCCTCAGGTGAAGGGGCTAGGCTCCGAAAGCTTGTGTTTTCAAATAGACCTGTTAGCCTATAACCTGGTGTTGCGTGATTTCTGACCATGGTGGTGGAGGGTATTGGAACAGACTGGGGAAATACAGTATCATCTGCGATTATTTGCTACGATAGTAGGTGGGCTGTGTACCAGTTTGATGTTTTATACCTCCACAGGAGCTCAGTCTGACACATGAACGAAGGATTAGTGCAGGTGGGTAACAGCTTGGTTGTGGAGATTGTGTCGAGGACCATCTTAAAGGCAGAGAGAGAAGTAGACAGATTTCATGAAGGAGTTTGGCAGATGTCTATTGACAGCTGAAGCAAACAGAGGACAGAAAAGAGGCCAAAATTGGTGGAATGCAGTGTCCACAATAGATTGTCAGTTGGGAGGAAGTAAGAAGGCAAGATCATGGAGAGACTTAAACTATGTAAATTTTGGATGAATGTATTGTCATGGAGGTTTTGAATACTTAAATGTGCAAGTAACAAATGAATGATGGTTTCAGGAGCAAATGAGTTGAAGCAGCACGTGGACCAACAGGAATATAGAGATGTTATTGGTGGCCTTGGTAAGAAAGAGTATAAGGGATTGGAAGCTCAGCTCAGGGTTGAGTGAAATTCCCCAAGTTATAGACTGTCTGCTCAGGTCTTGGATAGAGAGTGGGGAAGTGGTTGTTGGAATCAGTGACTAGGAAATGGAGCTTGTGTGCGGGCCAGTCAGTGATTGATGCTAAGGCAGACTGATTGGGCAACTGATCTGTTTCCCTATTGTAACCTCAGTCATCTCCCTGTGTTTTTCATGTGAGCGTTAAATGTTGTTTGTGTTGTGTTATTGCCTACATGCCAGCAAATTTCCTGTGGCGGTTTGCACAAGAAGTCAAGATCCAAGTGTAGTTCCAACTGTAATGGGTTGAAAAGTGGGAGATAATTTTACAGAGAAGTTTATAACGTAGGTATACATAGGCTGGGTCTGGTCCAATAATCCCCAACCTCCGACTCCCACTTCACTCAAGGGCTACCATTGTTCTTCAATCCCTGTGACTTCTACGTTAACTGTCCAAGCACCACTGTAATGTCAACAATATGCTTTTGGCAAAGGATCATTTTGTTTTTAAAAAGCCTTTTATTGTATAATTGCTCGTGCCACTTTGAAAACTAAACTGTCAGTTAACTGGGTGAAAGACAGTTAATGATTAGGGGCAGAGTGCAGTGATGGTATAACTCAGTAGCATCCACTGATGTCTGTTGTTCTATTCATGGATTTCTTAGCCTACTTTTCTATGTATTTATTCAATGTCACTCAGTGCTCCATTAATCTTTAAGTGGATTAATAACTCTGTTCTTACTCACTGGTACTTTTTTTATTAGTCGATTGAATTTTTGATGTACACCTTATTTATTTGCCCAATACCCATGAATTTATTAGCTTACCACTGCCTAATAATATTTGATTTGTTTGTTGGTGTGCCTTTTGCTCTGTGAATTTATTAACTCACTGCTTCCTTATCCTTAATTTAGTTTATTTTCTCTTTCAGTTGTTTGAAGTGATGCTCTTTCTGCTCTGTGTATGAATTTCCCATGTTTATTGATTCATTGACATGTTTTATTCATAAATTTAAAAACTCACTTATGCCTTCTTAGTTTTCTTGCACCTCTTGCGTCTTGTTCAAAGTCAACATTCTTTGCCAGCCGTCCAGGGCGGCACGGTGGCTCAGTGATTAGCACTGCTGCCTCACAGCACCAGGGACCCGGGTTCGATTCCACCCTCAGGCTACTGTCTGTATGGAGTTTCTGTTTGGGTTTCCTCCGGGTCCGCGTGGGTTTCCTCCAGGTGCTCCGGTTTTCTCCCACAGTCCAAAGACGTGCACGCTAGGTCATACTAAATTGCCCATAGTGTTCAGGGATGAGTAGATTAGGTGGGTCATTGGTGGATGGGTCTGGGTGGGATGCTCTGAGGATCGGTGTGGACTTGTTCGACCAAAGGGCCTGTTTCCACACTGTAGGGATTCTATGATTCTATGAAGTGGAATTGAAATTTCTCATGGAGATATCTCCACTGCTTTCTTCCCTCAGTCTTTGCATTGAACTGCCTCTGATCCTTAAGGATTTCAATCTTTATCTCTGTTCATCATTCTCTTTCTCCTCTCTTAACCCCTCTAAATCACATCCTCCAGCTAACCTCTCCACCTGTATTGCATGTATCTATCACAGAAAGGAGCAGAATTTATCCTTGTATCCCTCTCCATCCATATCTCCCTTCCACTACATAGCAGGCCCACCACATGATCTGCCACTGCAAAAACAAAACCAACCCTGTTCGTTTGCAATTGCAAATCAACATCCAAATATCTAGCATTTGGCCCTTCAGTTCCACAACATTTCTGCAGCTATTGATTGGCTCATTTACACCTTAATCTCCATTTTGATGTCCCTGTCTCCAATATGTCAATAACACTCTCTCAAACTGCCAATTCCAACCTCCATCTCTGCTCTCTGAAGTTCAAGGGACACATTCTTGAAAGAAAATGGTGGAAAACTGGTTGAGCTCCCCGCTGTCATCTTGGAATGTAAAGATGACCCCTTGCTTCTTTTCTCCATACCATCTGCTTAAACTTCACTCCCATGTACCTTTCATTCTCCCTTGCAACAATAAATACGAGGAGTTCATGGATTTCTTCAGCACTGACATTGCTTCTGCCTGTCCCCCTCTCTTACCAGCCCAGTGACTGAACTTCCTCTAAAGAGATCCTGACCTAGCTCTCTACTTGCATTGGTATCTAGATTTTCTGTTATTTCCTCTCATGCCCTCTGTAAGCCCATTTTGTCTATGAGACCCAACTTCTGTTTTCTCAACCCGATTCTCACTAAACTGCTGATCAATCAAGTTCTGCTGTTTCCCCATGTGTTAGCCAATATAGTTAATGGTATTCTGTCTTCAGATTTTGTTCCTCTCTCTTTGAAATCTGTTATCATTCACTCTACTCAAAATCACAACCTGATTATCCTTGCAAATTACTGCATCTCTCCTGACCTCCTTTTCCTCTCCAAAGCCCTTGAGCATGTTGCCTCCCAAATTTGTACATGGCTTTGTGTCACCTTCTTTAGAGTGCATCTGGCAAGTGTCTTGGGTCATTTTATCATTTTTAAAATTGTGGCTCATCGCAATTTTCTCAAGGGCAATTAGTGATATCCCATGAAAGAATAAAAGGAATAAGTTGTTTGCTAATAATAAACAGTATCTTTGTCGCTATTTGGTGACTTCACCTGACGAAAGAGCTGCTCTCCGAAAGCTTGCAATTTTAAATAAACCTGTTGGACTATAACCTGGTGTCGTGTAACTTCTGACCTAAAAAAGAAAGACTGAGAGATGATCTTTTTCTCAGCTTTGTTGTCATAATTTTTCCTAATAACCTTGTGTCAAATTTTTGGATTTAGCAGCTGTATATCCTTTCTGTTGCTAACCTTCTCTTTTATCGTGGGCTGGGAATCGTAGTGTGGCTGACTAGGAAACACTTGCTCTTTTATCCCCTGCCCGTGTGTGAATTGGAAGGATTTATAAGTGGATAATCAATCTGTTGGGTGGCAATATGAAAGCACCTGCCTTGATTGTCAAATCCTTGAGTGGGGCTTGAACCTGGAACTCCTAGCTCAGAGACAGGGACACTACCCACTACACCACAAAACCTCCTGCTGAGCAGAGACGTAATAGAGCTCTTCAAAATTATGGAAGAATGGATGCAGAGAGAATGTTTCCCCTTGTGGGAAAGGGCAAAACTGGAGGCCATCAAATTAAAATAGTCACCAAGAAGTCGAACTGGGAATTCGGGAGAAATTTCTTTACAAAAACAGTGGTGAGAATATAGAACTTGTTCCTACAAGGAATGGATGAAGAGAATGGTATAGGTGCAGTTAAAAAACAAATGAGGGAGAAGGGAATAGAGGGTTATGATGCTAGATTTAGATGAGAAAAGATGCCAGGAGATTTGACTGGAGTATAACTGGTTGCGCTGAATGGCCTGTTTCTGTGCTGTATATCCGATCTTCTCCAATATACAAAGTGAATTAAACAATGATATAGTTGAAGGTGGAATAGAGTGGTAACTGTTGGTAGAATTGGAAGAAACTGAAGAGCCAAAAGTGAAAAGATTTTTTTGTTTTCTGGATGTGGGATATAGTCGTCATTCAAGATCAATGTAGACCTGCAATCGGATTGAGAAGGAATCACTGCTGGTACTTAGAGCAGTCATGTTTGCCCACATAGAAATTGTGGACTGAATGGATTTAATGATTCTATATGATTTACAAATATACTGTATGGATACGATTATGGTGATACAGAACATGATACAGGCATAA